CCGCACCGAATCCAGGGGCTTTCACTGCTGGAGGCGGGGGGTCGGGTGGGAGGCGCCGAGAGTTAGGGGCTTTCTCGTTCCTAGTTAACATGCCTTATTAATCTCCGTTCTAGTCCTCTCCCTGCACACGGAGCTGCCCTGATGGAGAGAGCTCCTTGTCCTCAGCTGGTTTAAGTTGTAGGGAGGCTGGGAGGAGGGAGGGTGTTTTGAGTGGGAGGAAAGAATGCTGGTGAAGAAAATGGGAATTTAGACCAATTCAAAGAGCACGTAAATATATTCATTTAACATACTTAATGAGCTTCTACTCTGAGCCTGGTACAGGGCCAGATGTTTGCAGCGGTGTGTGTTTTGGGGGGGGCGAGGGGGGATGGGTGGAATCGAGTTAAAGAAGACGTTCACTGAAAGCACTCACTCATTTATTATTGAGAGAGAGAGATGACATGTACCCAACACTGGACCAGTGGGAGGGAGAATGGCAGGCATAGATGGTTATGCATGTTCTTCACAGTATATTTCAGAATCTTGCTGGTCCCCATTGCCATTGGTAAAGGTACATTACAGCCTTCTGGCCTGAATGAGACAGAAGCCAAGAAATAGATCCCCATCTCACTCCTCTCACCCCTCATCTCCCAAACACACACCACCACAGGCCCACCTGCAGGTGCCAGGATATTATTGTCAGATATCTTAATTCTTGACGGTCTAATATGTGTAAAATGATGGCTTGTGAACCTGATTTCATTGTCTAATTGCTAAGGAGGTTGAATATCTTTCATATGTTTATAGCCTGCTCATGACTTTTGCCCATTTTTTCTATTGAGTTGCCCTTCCTTACTGATTTTTAGGAGTCATGTATGTTATAGGGACTATTTTGCTAGTTGTGTGAGTAACAAATGTTTTCTCCTGGTTTGCAACTTATTTTACTTTTCTTTTTTCTCTCCTTTCCCTCCTCTCTCTCCATGTATTTTGATGAGTAGAAGTTTGCAGTTGCAATGTAGTCAAATATTTCAATTTTCAATATTTTGCCTTTATGGTTAGTGCTTTCTGTGCTTTGTCTATTCCCACACAAGGTCATAAAAAGATTTTATATTTTCTGACAAGTTTAAAGTTTTTCCTTTCACATTTAAGTCTTTCAATCACCTGGAACTGATTTCTATGTATGATGTGAAGCAGGGGTCCAATTTAATTTTTTCCACGTTATGGATAATGTGCTATCTTGGTAACATTTGTTGAATTGCTCTTACCTGGGCACTAACCTGCAGTGCCACCCCTGTCTTATATCAGCTTTCATGTATGAATGAGTCTTGTTTTGGCCTCCTTTATTAATCTTAGAGCAGGATAAAGGCAGGCTCCCAGTTATTTTGAGGGTGGTGAGTGCTCTTTCCTCAACACTCCTACACTGTATGTGTCCCTCACATGCTTGTGTGCTGCCTGGATTTTGGCTAATCTCCTGAAATAGAGTGTGATCACATCTTGCTCTCTAAACGCCCAGCTTGGTGATAGGGCCCTCATAAAGTGTTTGTTGAAAAAAAGAAAGAATGGACATCTGTTGTCACCATTTGAGCATATATGAGATTCCACCTGCACAGGACAGCTTCTCCCAGGTGGTACCAAGCCTCCCTCACTGCTGAGATGCCCGCCCCTTGGGGAATTTTCTCTCATTTTCTCTAAGCAATTTCCAGTGTTGCAGACTTTTCTTTAGCTTTTTAACCTTGAAAATGATTTATTTTCATTTTACTCCCTCAACAAAAGACCACCTATTAGGTGCTAGCTGTTAAACCTAAATTGTGGTTTAATGACCCCCCAAATATACCCACATCCCTGGAACCTATGAATGCTGCTTTATATGGCAAAAGGACTTTGTAGCTGTGATTAAGTTAAAGAGCTTGAGATGGGGAGACTATCCTGGATATAGGAGGAAACAGAGAAGAAAATGATGTAATGACAGAAGCAGCAATCGGAATGATGAACTTTGAAGATGGAGGAAGGGGCTACAAGCCAAGGAATGCAGGCAGCCACCAGAAGCCGAGAAAGGCAAGGAAAAGGATTTCCCCTCAGAGCCTTTGGAAGGAACCAGCCCTGCTGACACCTTGACTTTAGCCTAGTGAAATTGATTTTATACTCCTGGTTTCCAGAACTGTAAGAGAATAAATTTGCGTTGTTTAAAGGCAATACATTTGTGGTAATTTGTTACAGAAGCAATTACTATTGTTTTTGTCTTAGGGCTTGTTTTATTTATACTTGAATTTATTCTGAAAACATATTTCCTGTGATTGGGATCAGAGGAGCCAGGAGATGCCCCTCCCTTTGGTTCTGATGTTCTTGTCGCTCTAATGATAGGTCTCTTTTCTCATGTGAACAACCTCCCTCAGCAGCTGCCTGCTGCTTGGCCATGTAAATGACCCGCCCACTTCATCCCTTCCTCTTCACCCTGGCTCTGGCCTATCTTTTGTGCATTGTGCAGAAATGTCATCCTGAACAAAGAATGTCAGCAGACAAATCTGGTTGACTAGGGTAAACTTTATGAGAGAACAGTGATGGAGCACCTTATGCATTCCAGTCACCCAGTACCATGACCAATGCAGAATTTTCTTGAATTGGAGTTTCCTTGGTTTTCTTCTTTAAGGATTTTAAACTAAAGTATGTTGATATTACCTGATCAGAATTCCCTACTGAGCACTGAGGATGGGCATTAAAGCAAAGGTAACGCTTTGCTTTCTGGAATGTCTTCAGCCTTGACTTGTATAACAAAATGTGGCATGGAAAACCTTGCATGCTCCTGGCAATGTGGGGCTTAACATAGTTTCCTTGGTTTTCTTCTTTAAGGATTTTAAACTAAAGTATGTTGATATTACCTGATCAGAATTCCCTACTGAGCACTGAGGATGGGCATTAAAGCAAAGGTAACGCTTTGCTTTCTGGAATGTCTTCAGCCTTGACTTGTATAACAAAATGTGGCATGGAAAACCTTGCATGCTCCTGGCAATGTGGGGCTTAACCTTGCATGCTCCTGGCAATGTGGGGCCTAATGGAGTAAGACTGTGTTAAGGCAAGAGGCTTGAGACCCTGGGAATGACCCGAATTTTCCAGAAACAGTGTGTTTGGGAAGTGTCAAAAGAACAGCTTGTGGAGTCCTAGTCCCATCGTCCCTCCTACACCCTGGGGAATCCTTCCTGAGTAGCTGTGTCTGCAGAGCTATGCTAGTGATGCTAGTCAAGTTCCCCACCAATATTTATAGCAGTTGCTTCAGCTCTTTCCAAACAGCATCTGTTGTGTTAGGGGCTGGGTTAGAGCTTCCAGAAGGTAGTAATTGTGAGTTCACAGCTTGGGCTATAGAGACAGCAGGTAGTAAATTGGGCAACAAATGCAGTTTCTAAGGGAAGGTTCTACCTGCACAGATGGGGTGTGGCTGCCAGCCTGGATCTGGGAGCCTCAGACCTGCAGTAGGAGAAAGGCTAACCTTCAGGAAGGGGAGAACAGGAATGTCCAAAAAAAGAAATGAAGGAAAGCAATCTCATTTCCTACTTGAACACAACCAGGACTTTGGTTGTTCACTAACTTGCCCCAGCCTCTGCTTCCTGTCTCTTGCAGGGACAAAAACAGGAGGTTTTTAAAAAAGAATTTTGTGTGAACAACTTCTGTTTTTAAAAAAGGCACGAATGAGCAAA